TAAAACTTTATTTGAGTCAAAGTATAATTTAACAATGAAAATGTTTTAAGAAACCTAACCCCAGAAGCTAAAATGCTACCTATAAGAAGTTTCCCCCCACTCAATAAATACAGTGCAGAACAGGAATAAAATGGTCAGAGTCAACAGGTTAAAAGGCACCATTAAATAAACACCACAAATCAATTAATCATGCATCAACCAAATACAAGAGGGCCTTGCCTCCTTGTGCATAAAACCATTCACATGCTGTTCACACCATAAAATTGACTAAACCCTATTTGAAACAATACAATAAATAGGGAACATAATACTAGGTAACCCTCTTAACATAAAAGCAAACAAGGCAAAACGTTGCATAAGCTAAGCATCACATAAGCCTGGATGACCTGCAACTTCTTACTTCTAAACCCTGACAAAACTGAAGTAATTGTGCTTGGGCCTGAAAATGTTAGAAATCTGCTATCTAATCATATAGTTACTTTAGACGACATAGCTCTCGCCTCCAGTAATACTGTGAGGAACCTTGGAGTCATTTTTGACCAGGATATGTCCTTTAAATCACACATAAACCAGGTCTCTAGAACTGCCTTCTTTCACCTGCGCAATATTGCAAAAATCAGGAGCATCCTGTCTCAAAGTGATGCTGAAAAACTGGTCCATGCATTTCTTACTTCCAGGCTGGACTACTGTAACTCTTTACTATCAGGATGTCCCAATAATTCCCTAAAAGATGATGTCATGGGGTAGGACTGGATAAGTCTGACTTCTTCCTACTCCATTCAAGCATGTACTAGGTATAAGCAAATTGATATTGGATTATGTGTAAAATTATGTGTGTTGTCATATCAACTGTCTTTACATGCTTGAAAGAATAAATCAAATCAAATCAAATCAAAACAGAATTTTACAACAAGCTGTTTAAGGCTTTGATGGAAAAAAAACAATATAGAGCACTTTAGCACGGCCAGTGAGGTCAAGGCTTCAGTCATTGAACGATACAACAAAACTTTAAAGCAGAAAATATACAGATACTTTACAGGTAAAAACACCCTCAGGTATTTGGATGTGCTGCAACAAAGTGTACAAAGTTACAATCACACCTATCATTCCAGCATCAAAATGACCCCAGCGCAGGTGAATTCTGAAAATGCCCTGCACGTTTTTAAGAATCTGTATGATTCGTTCCCTCTTCGTTTTAAAACAGCGTTAAAGATGAATTTTAAGGTTGGAGATGTGGTCAGGATCTCTAAATTAAAAGGAGTTTTTGACAAAAAGTACACTCAGGGATACACTGATGAGCTATTTAAAATAACAGAGTGCGTTTCTAGGATACCGCCTGTCTACAAAATTTGTGATTACGATAACGAGCCAGTGGAAGGATCCTTTTATGAATCAGAACTGCAGAAAGTTATAATTTCCAAAGACAAAGCATTTCATGTGGAAAAGATTTTGAGTTAAACGCACGATAGGAGGGGTCCCACATGTACTCGTTAAATGGAAAAACTGGCCTGACAAGTTTAACAGTTATGTGAAAGCATTGGATGTGGTAAACGTGTGAAACATGAACAGCTCAGGTTTTTACATGACTTTGCCCTCAAATTACTACTCTGTTTTAGCTGTATGTGCATTTTGTTTTATTCATCTCACACTACATAATAATGGTTATGTCTTTTTAAATAGCTGTTTCACACCTCTGGAATTACTCAGACCTAACTCAAGGGCGTCTGTTGCCTTCTCACTCTTCTCATTTGAAACAAAATATCAGCTCAACTCTATTTAATATACAAATCACTACTATACTTTCTATGTACCATTTGTTTTATTCACTATATAACATTACAAACTGCATCATTACCAGGTCTTTATTTGTTAGATTCATCTATCAATGGGGAGAACAGATGTACCCCCCGGGGCACCATGCAGGGAGGGGGTATGAGAACCTGAGTTTTAATATATATATATAAACAAGGCAAATACAGGTATGAAAAGTAACTAAAGGGATAATAAAGTTATGACAGGTAACTAAAGAAACTGAAGTTATCAAAAGTAATTAAAGCTTATAAAGGAACTGAAGCCTATAAGATTCAAATCTTACACACTCAAACCTGTTTTTGCTTTGTAATTGTGAAGTATTGTGTGTAGATTGAGGGGAAAATGTATATTAATATTTTTAAGATGAGCCTGAAACATAAATGTGGAAAACTGGAACGGGTCTGAATACTTCCTGAATCTACTGTAGCCTATATTATTCTGCTCCACTGTAGGTGGCGGTAACGTTAACGTTGGAAGTCACCCGTCATTAAATAAATAAAGAAGAAGAAGAATGTTATTACAGCAATAAGCTGTTTTACCTACTTCCATGTCAAGTAGATTAGACGAGTTTCTTGAGGTCGGCCATGTTAATTGTTTACGTTTGGTTTCTTGACTGTTCGAAAGCGCTGAGCTCGGAATTCAGAATTTTCAACTTGGACATTTCCAAAGTGCCTCGAATGCAGCATAACGTTAGAATGTTTGCCGAAAAAAGCTCACAGCAGTATTTGTAAGGGCCCAAGTTGTTGTTTACTCAATGTTGGTAGGGCCTTTGCAACCGTGTCAACGTTTTGATATTCATTGAGTGCTAGAAAATATTACATTTATCTGGCTTTCGAAGTAAGACATGAGGAAATTCAGAAAAGTATGGATAGTAGATTCTGTGTTTTGAACGGCACTGAAGACCTCCAAACGCGAATTTCAAACTCGCATAACAGTCTCCATTTCGAAAGGTAAGTTGTTTAGCAGCTGTAATTAGTTGTGTTTGGGACTGTGTGTTTTCCCTGGGGACAGCGAGTCGTTATTTGTCAATTTGTGGCTTGTTTTGTTATTGTGAGCTAGCTAACTTAAACCTACAGTATTTAACATGAAGTCTGTGTCGACCCCTAACGGGAAAAGCCGAAAGTGACATTCATTCATTCACATCAAGTCAGTCCGCCCAGCACTCCCTCTCCCTGCTCCACTGTGCTCTGCTATGATCTGCTATGCTCCACCACACTCTGCCCAGCTCTTCAGATAGTTGTCATTATGAAATTGCAATAAATGAGAATGCAACGAAACGTACTGATCAAGCAGAAATAACTGAACATCTCTGATTACTTAGAGAGGTCAGTCCTGCTCAAAACCTTTTAGAAGCTAATATCTCTGCACTGCTGTTCATTGAGTCTCCAGTTTTTGGAGCAGATTTCTATAACACAAATATCTGAACAAGTTATACATTGTAGCTCTAACGTCAGAGTAGCTGTTGCTTAGCCTGTTGACCTTAGCGGGCTATCTCTCAGTCCAGTTCAAACAAGTTCAGATACATCAGTCCAACAAACCTAAACACAACTAAACCTCACCCACACTGAAACTGACACGTGTAATGGTATATCTCCTCAGGTCTAAGACACTGTTTGAGGAAATTCGTGCCTCCATTAACAACAATGATGAAGAGGACCGTTCCTTCTGGAGGCCTGTGCTCCCTTGGGGTGGCGTGTTTACCATCAAAGCAGGACGGAAAGCTATATCATGCATCCCTCTGTATGTCAAAATCAACCTAAAAAACACCTGCACCATCGATGGCTTTCTCGTGATCCTGTATGTGATCCTACGGGACAATCAAGGCTTTTCCAGAGAGCTAGCCGTCTTCCTGGGCAAGCAGTTTGTGGAGTACTTCCTCTACCTTATGGACTCCTGTGATTACACCACAGTCAAGATGCTGTGGATCTGGGACAGGATGTCTAAGAGACAGTACCGCTCACAGATCCACCAAGCAGCACTGGAAATTGACCTGTTTGGCAATGAGCATGAAAACTTCACAGAGAACCTGGAGAACCTCATGTCTACCATGCAGGAGAGCCTGTGCACTAACTGGAACTGTCCAGCTCGCTTCCAGGATTTCATCAAGACCACGATCAACATCAGGTATGCAGAGAGAGGGACCTAACTGCAGATAAGACAGCGGATTGTGACCAAGATTTGTGTACTCTCAACCTCGCCCAGAAGTCATCAGTGTTTTCTGGAATTTGGGTTACAGTTAAGGTTTAAAAAAAATTCCTAACCCTTCTTCCAACCGTAAACATGCCGAGGCGCACAACTCCTGACTGATATCTCCGCCATCTTGTCTGCAGGGCCATTTTTAAAGCACAGACAAGCTAGGCAGTCGACTAGGGTGCCACCAACTGGAGGAGAAGGAAAAGATTAATTTATAACAGATGCCCAGTCTACTTTTAATAGTCTGTTTCTGCTGTTGAGGACATTACAGAAGAGAAGACTACAGACAAGAGTGCAGGAGGGAATTTACACCCACTATAGCATCATTAACTTGCTGGCTGCTGCTTATTATCTGACCGTGTGGTTCATTTGCTCACACTGCTGTGTGTGTAATCCATCCATTATCTATACCGCCTACTCCTGAATACGGTCACGGGGGTGCTGGAGCCTATCTCAGCTGACATCGGGTAAGAGGCGGGGTACACCCTGGACAGGTACCAGTCTATCACAGGGCTGACATGTAGACAAACAACCACACCCACTCACTCCTAGGGGCAATTTAGAGTCACTAATCAACCTAAGCCTTTGGGAAGAAGCCGAAGTACCTGGAGAGAACATGTACAGAAAGGCACTGGGTGAGCCTGGGCTTGAAACTGGAACCTCCTTGCTGTGACGCAGCAGCGTTAACCACCACACTGCTGTGCCACCTATATAAGTAGAAGGACACTTACGGTTCATCCAAACAAAAAAATGTGAGCCACACTGACATAATTCATGACAGAACAGATAGTGTGTGTGTACATATGCCCTCTCAGCTCAAAACATGTAGCTGTCAGTTAGTGAGTAAGAAAGCTTATAATGATAAACACTGATTTATACTCTGAAAGTAAAATACCTGATGTTCCGAGCCAGGGAACTTAGGAATTTTTGATTATTTGTATAGGCTATAAATCTAGATGCTCGCTCTTAGAACAACATAAATCACCTCTGTGTTAAAAGGCTGAAGGCACACTGCTGTGAGTGAGACAGAAGTTGAGTGAAGCTAAATAAAGTTACATTTTAAAATAATAAAGTGCTACAAAATTTCTGTAATTGTCATAGAATATTCTAACAATAAGATCAGTTATGTCAGTGGAGCCAGTGGCTGTCATGTAGGGCGCTAAAGTTTTTGGTCCCAATGCACTTAATCCTACACTAAGGAGCGAGGAGGCTGCTGGAGCAGATGTGATACACAAGTGTAACCTTTTCAAAAGTCTTTTATGGACTGACACACCCCTGTACTGGAAATTAATTGATGATTGGATGCTTCAGATAAAGGGTCAGAGGAAAGGACTTCTGTCTCTAAAAACATGTTTCCTCATCTTCTCTCTCTCCTCGTATTTTCTCTTGCATCTTTTTCTCACATCTTTTGTGGGTGGGACTAAGATGCAAGGAAAATATGCAAGTGAGGGAAATAGTGATGCAGTAAATGGAACTGGGGTTTACCAATAATCTCCACCTGCTTAAATGAGGTAGAATAAAAGGATGCATGCATAACCATCTTCATCTACAGTATGTCTGTGAAGGCATCATATTTTCCTATCACAAAGTAGGTTAAGCCTTAATGAATGGAGTGTTGCTGGATGGTTAACACAGTTTCCATTTCTTAGAATTTCACTCACTCTTCCTCCAGCCCTCCTCACGAGTTGCCTCACAAAGACCCCATTCAGTCAGCTGTGGACGAGTTTTTCTGCCCCAAGATCCTGCTCTGCTCAGAACTGGGGTAAGACACAGGGAGCATGTTCATCATTTTCTAAGTCAGTTCAGTCTTGCTCCACCTCTTTGACAAACTTTCCCTCTTTTGTAACAGGTGTGATGGGCTAAGGGAGTTCTCTCAGAGGGTTTTCTGCCATGGACCACCACCATTTGTCATTCTCAACATGCAGCAGTGGAAGTCAGAAGATTTGTCCTATGTCCCTTACCACCTGGCCCTCTGCCAACACAGGTATACAGTTCCATTCTTTAGCCACACTGTGGCGCAAGCCGCAGTCAGATTCCCACTGCACTGACCTGCAGTATTATGGCTTTGGCACAGGACCATATTTCAAGCATTTAAGCAGCAATATAAAAACAACTTAAGCCATAAATAAAAGGGTGGCCAAAATGTTTTTAAGACTAATGGCCAATAACTAGCAAATAATTTTATGTACATCATGGCAGAGATATGCTGAGGTTCTGATGGCCTTAAAGTATATACATAGTTTGATGTCACCATCATCCAGTATGATCAATAATAAGCCAGAAACAACCTATGTAGAGCTACAAAACATTGAGCCTGTATTTCAGGAAAAACTGTGTTGTCTAAGCGGGGTGACTTTCTTCACACCAGTAAAGGAAAGCTAGCTTTAGAAATATGACTCAGTTGAATAACATGAGGTGGAAAATCTGGCTTATTAAAGCTCAAACTGCTATAAAAATGTGCAAGTCTCTTGCTGCAGGCTTTGCACCGGCAGGAGTGATGTCAGATTTGTTCACATTGTGCCATGTTTTTTTGGTAAAATTTTTCAATTCACAAGTACCAATGATTTTTTTTAAATGAATAAGCCTATTATGCAGACCAAAAAGAATGTGGTCTTCTAGATAGTATTAAGCAAAGTCTTTCAAACTCTGTTGTCCACAGGTACTTACTAGAGGGCGCCACACTCTTCAACAAGGAGGAGCATCACTACTCTGCAGCCTTCCAGATAGACGGCTGCTGGATGCACTACGATGGTCTGAGGAGTGACAATCTGATCCTGTTACACAAGCCACCAGAACTCCTACTGCTGTCCTCTCTGGTGTATGTCCGCACCTCCGACAAGTGAACCCTCTTTCTTTCACGTGGACATGCAGACGATGAGCAGTGGTTGCACCAAGCACAAGAGTGAGAGCATCAATCCACCATTCCTGTGATTATTTTGTCTTGACCCCATGGATTGTGTTACGTCACTGTAATCTCATCTCTCTGCTTACTGCATCATCAGGATTTTTAATTCATTCCTGTCAATTGCTTCCTCTTCCAGCTATATGCCTGCACAATGACACGTGCCATTTCACCCGAAAGCTTAATGTGCAAAATTAAAATGACTTCTTGTTTGGGCATTCTTGGAATCCAAGATTATAATGGACTATAATAGTTCAGGGTTGATGTGCATACACAACAATAGGCTATGCACAGTGTGAAATTTCCTGCTACACAGAGGAGACTGGTATTATTTTAAAACTATGATGTGATTGTCAAATCCATGTTCTATTATGGACCCTTTGACAGGGGAGGGCAGTGACTATATCCCACAATTCCATCATATTTAGAGGTGTAGTTTTGTTAGTGTCTGTTTAAATGTGTGCATATCAGCCCTTTCATAAGATGAATCTGGTGCTTTTTTATTTACACTGTGGTCTGAGTTTAAAATTAGAAAGCAAGGTCAAGGTTCACGCCAGGTTAATGTCTTGTTCTGTCTTAAGGTGTCTAATTTGAAGGCAAACCTTTACTAGGATGTGTGGGTTAAAATAAAAGATTTTTTTCCCCCCTTTGTTTCAACTCGGTACACACTCAAGTCTCCAACACAGGAAACATATAATTTTATAGTTTTATGTTTTTAACCTCAAAGAATTACTGGTATCACACAGTGCCTCTGCCAAGTAAGTTTAAAAATATAAAAGCTGCTGAGCTTAAATCTTTGGTCAAGATTAGATTTCAATGGCTGCCGTCTACACAGATACCGTCTTTAAATTTCAAATAAATATTGTGAAATAAGTGCATGGATTTTATTTTGTTGCATGTTCAGTATAACGAGCCACATTAGAGCAGACAGACCTTTTAAGGCAGGCGTTTATTTTAAACTGGGTACAATTGCACCACACAAAGTGACGAAAATGTATGTAAAATGTCATCAAAACAAAATTTGGAAAGCTACTGTTTCTACACATAAGGTTATCTTGTCCTTCCAGTATTAATGCACAGGATATAAAAATTCAAGCTCATCACCTTACTCCAGACACACAATGGGACATGTAAAAGAAGCAGAGTGGTCATTTGGCAAACTTTGACATCAGTTTCAAAGGATATTTCTTTCAGACACAAACATCAGAGTGGCAGTCCGTTTCATAGCTGGGGGTTAGTCGTCTTTCTGCTTTCTTTGTACAAGCACTTTGGTGAGAGTGGTGGAAAAGATGAGACACTGGTTAGGCCATAATAAAAACGTGTATAAATGCAGGTTCCTTTCTTTTTGCAGATTTTCACGAGCCTCTCTCTCAAATCCAGTAAAGTAGTATACACCTTAGAAATCATGACATTGTACATAACAGACTCTGTTACAATGGCAACAGCATCTAATTATGCCTGCGTGGTTTGTGCGAAAGTGGCTAAGATCTATTATAATAGACAAAAAATGTCAGGTTACAGAACATAAGAAATTATAAATACAAAGTCATTCACATCTTTCTAAAATAATACATATTTGCAGAATTACAAAACAGGCAGCTTATGCATTAGTCATTCAAAAAAAAGAAAAGGGTATTCTCTATGGTAATGCAAACAATCTATAAACAAAAAGTCTCACCAGTGAAATAACCTGATCCATAACCAAGGCAAATGTCATTAAATTCTCATCTAATGCATTGAAGGTTTGAGCACAAGGGAAAAGCGGAAGAGCATAAATCTTCTCTAGTGTTTACAACATCTGTATATGTGGCCAAAAATGACAAGGTATATACCTCCAATATGGACACTACTCGATAGATTGTAAGGAATCCGTTTGAATCTGCCTAAATAAACACAAGCCTTATAAAAATGAACCAGCACGCACGCACACGCACGCGCGCACGCACACACACACACACACACACACACAAGATGTCTGGGTGGAGGTGGTACCATTCATTAGACAGCCACAATATCAACCAAAGATGTGAATCAACAGCCACAATATCAACCAAAGATGTGAATCAACAGCCACACCCTATGGGTTCTTTCACAGCAATGTGAGATGCCTTGGCCTTTTACACACAAAACACTCATTCACAGAGGGAACAAAAGTCTTATTGCATTATCTAAATGCCATTAGCTTAAATTAAAACATATGTACAAATTACAATATTTGTTTGGTAAGTGCAATGCAGAGCTTGGTTAAAGTGTGCAAACATAAGTGCACAAAGCAATTCAAACTAGACTTTAACATGAACAGTGATTACACGAGAGACATCGCACCAGCCTTTTCTAGTCTACTGCACCCTCTGTTGCTGTGCATTGCTTGACCTGTCCATCAATCGAGCCCAAGGTTGCAGCAAGTGATGCTCTCACCCAGTCTGAAGTGAGCGGAGCATTGTCAGTTTCTCTCCCAGGACACAGGACCGGTGACACTGGCACCTTGGTCTGAGTTGGCTAGCACAGCCCTTAGTGCTTTATCATCCATTTTCATGTGAGAGTATGGAAAGACGTAATGCTAAAAGAGTACCACTAAGGATATGAACAGTGCTTTTCGACAGTGACACACAAGGAAAGTGGATTCTAGTACTACACATGATAAAGATGCAAAAAAACTGCCACGTTTTGGCACTATACATGAAGCTGGGTACAAATGACCTCAAATCTGAGCCACATGAGGATCACGTTAGGTGGCAGAGCTCAAAGCGCAGGTGTCAGTCAGGAAAAGTCTTGCTCATAGCTAAGAGACTGACACTGTACTGGTAATAGGCATCGAGACAATGGCAGAGCAGGCTCATATCCTGTGGCCAATGTGAAAGAAGGGAGATGTTAAAGATATACCTGAAATAGGAGGGAACTGACTATTTTTAGACTTATGAAATTATGAGGACAGAAGTTTGTGGTTATCAAACTACACTTTACTTTATTGCATGGTTGGTGGGGGCATTTTTAATGTATGCATTTTAATGAATATAAATCAAATGATTAACATCTACCACAATAGTGGGGCAGAGGCTGGATAAAAGTTGAACTACTTGTGTGCAGCAACACAAACTGCTGAATCCTGAATTCTAAATATAGCACCAGATGGTATTGTGTACAGACCAAAGGGTGAAATGAGGGCCAACGTTGAGTTCAGCTATTGTGAAGAGTAGTGAGCGCGTGTCCCGACTTAAGGTGTAACAGAACCAAGAACATGGGGTGGCAAACCCTCTCGGGAGAATTCATCATTCACCACTATGTTGACCGTAGGGATCAAACTACATACACATGCACACACACAGTAGTGATCCAGTGCAGAAAAACATTTACAGACAATGCACTAGAGGATATATTTATAGCTATATATTTAATTTAAGGTATTTACAAGAGAGAAAAAGGCAGCCCTTTCTGAGAAAGTATAAAGAATCTAACTTTTCTCTTTTTGTGAAGCACTGATTTTGATGCAGATTCCTCTGTTGCTGAGCCTGAGGACCGGTTCTGCATGCACACACATAACAAAACTAAACAAACCTATCTGACATGCATGTACCCAGACACACACGCTACATGGCCAGCAACCACATATTCACACAAATACACAACCAACCTGCAGTGTTCCACAAAATCTGAAGACATAGTTCCGATTGCAGCAGAGGAACTAAAAAACTTTGTGTTAAACATAATTAACTGCATGGAGGAAAACAAAAGACTGCTAACATAATAAAATTTTGAAACAAAAGTGATAAGATTTCTCACACAATCCTCTGGGAAATGGCTCAGAATCCAGTGGTCACCTTCTTACACCAATGACAGCTGTCGTCCAACCATTTTCTATTTCTTATCTGCACAAATCTCTAAAGCCATGTCTGAGGTCCCCCTATAACCAGCCAGCTAGCCCGGCACATCCATCCCCCTCTAGCCTCCTCCTCTGATGTCTATGTTGGTGTGCAGAGCTCCTTTGCACCTGGAGGATGAATGTGGGAAAGGAGAAAAAGACAACAGAAAAGAAGTCATGTTCAAGTTTTCCTACTGGGTCCTAGCTGGCTGGGCCATGGGTCAAAGGGCAGTCAGACCAAAGTTACAACGGCAGTACATCATGCCACTTGAGTCCAACCAGCTGTCTGAGATGGGGTCATAGCGCTGGACAGTGTTCAGATAGGATGACCCCGAGTGACCTCCCACCACATAGAGGTAGTTGTCCACGATAGCAGAGCCCACACCTGCAAAATAATGAGAACAGTCACATGTGGCCAATTACAGGGATCGATCACCACCATCTGGATGTATTCATTACAACAGGTTAAAAAACTACCTTCCAAGAATCCTACAAACAGAGAGTTTCATTAAAATCAGGTTTTACAAGTAGAGCTAAAACTCACCGGTGCGTGGTTCGTTCATGGGCCGACAGGCTGTCCACTGGTTCTGATGTGGATCATACCTCTCAATGCTGGACAAGTGCGACACCCCGTTGTGTCCACCCACGACAAATATGAAACCAAGCATAACACCTACTCCAAAGTTGATCCTCTTATCTGCCATGGGGGCTACCAATTCCCAGGCATCCTTGCTGGGGTCATACTGCTCCACACTGTGTGGACCAGATACAGATAGTTTAAAAAAGGGCCAGTTCACTCAAACAACACTGCTGGTAACTAGCTGTGCAGGTAGATTTGTTTTTAATGTTCCTAAATTTTGAAATGTGCATTTTGATTGCAAAACATCATTCAACAAAATAACCAGCATTTTAAAAAAACAGTTCCTGCATCACTACATGCTTTAAAAAAAAAAAAAAAACTGTGTCCCACTTGCATTACAATGTGTAATTGAGCCATTTGCCTCTCAAGAAACCTACAGTGCCTTGCGAAAGTATTCGGCCCCCTTGAACTTTGCGACCTTTTGCCACATTTCAGGCTTCAGACATAAAGATATAAAACTGTAATTTTTTGTGAAGAATCAACAACAAGTGGGACACAATCATGAAGTGGAACGAAATTTATTGGATATTTCAAACTTTTTTAACAAATAAAAAACTGAAAAATTGGGCGTGCAAAATTATTCAGCCCCCTTAAGTTAATACTTTGTAGCGCCACCTTTTGCTGCGATTACAGCTGTAAGTCACTTGGGGTATGTCTCTATCAGTTTTGCACATCAAGAGACTTAAATTTTGCCCATTCCTCCTTGCAAAACAGCTCGAGCTCAGTGAGGTTGGATAGAGAGCGTTTGTGAACAGCAGTTTTCAGTTCTTTCCACAGATTCTCGAGTGGATTCAGGTCTGGACTTTGACTTGGCCATTCTAACACCTGGATATGTTTAGTTTTGAACCATTCCATTGTAGATTTTGCTTTATGTTTTGGATCATTGTCTTGTTGGAAGACAAATCTCCATCCCAGTCTCAGGTCTTTTGCAGACTCCATCAGGTTTCCTTCCAAAATGGTCCTGTATTTGGCTCCATCCATCTTCCCATCAATTTTAACCATCTTCCCTGTCCCTGCTGAAGAAAAGCAGGCCCAAACCATGATGCTGCCACCACCATGTTTGACAATGGGGATGGTGTGTTCAGGGTGATGAGCTGTGTTGCTTTTACGCCAAACATAACATTTTGCATTGTTGCCAAAAAGTTCGACTTTGGTTTCATCTGACCAGAGCACCTTCTTCCACATGTTTGGTGTGTCTCCCAGGTGGCTTGTGGCAAACTTTAAACGACACTTTTTATGGATATCTTTAAGAAATGGCTTTCTTCTTGCCACTCTTCCATAAAGGCCAGATTTGTGCAGTATACGACTGATTGTTGTCCTATGGACAGAGTCTCCCACCTCAGCTGTAGATCTCTGCAGTTCATCCAGAGTGATCATGGGCCTCTTGGCTGCATCTCTGATCAGTCTTCTCCTTGTATGAGCTGAAAGTTTAGAGGGACGGCCAGGTCTTGGTAGATTTGCAGTGGTCTGATACTCCTTCCATTTCAATATTATCGCTTGCACAGTGCTCCTTGGGATGTTTAAAGCTTGGGAAATCTTTTTGTATCCAAATCCGGCTTTAAACTTCTCCACAACAGTATCTCGGACCTGCCTGGTGTGTTCCTTGTTCTTCATGATGCTCTCTGCGCTTTAAACGGACCTCTGAGACTATCACAGTGCAGGTGCATTTATACGGAGACTTGATTACACACAGGTGGATTCTATTTATCATCATTAGTCATTTAGGTCAACATTGGATCATTCAGAGATCCTCACTGAACTTCTGGAGAGAGTTTGCTGCACTGAAAGTAAAGGGGCTGAATAATTTTGCACGCCCAATTATTCAGTTTTTTAACTTTCGCAAGGCACTGTATGTGGTAATAAAATTGTGCTGACCATTAAGTTTAACATTTGTCATCAATGCATTTATGTAAACTGACTTGACAGCTTCCTGTACTCCCAGCTTAATGCTGTGAAGGACTACCCACCACTACGTCATGCAGTGTTGTAAATAGTGCACTGGCATAAATCAAAACAATATCTGGAAAATATAAATGCTTGCTACATGCTTTTTGGGAAATTGTCAGCAGTTTTGTCATATACATGCAATTTGTAGTTAATTGGTTATGATGTTCAAAAAGCACCTGTGCACTCACTTAACAGGTGGTAAGGAGCAGGGAACCAGTTTCACGTGCACATTTAATTTAACTGTTAATTGGAGCAATATTTTGCCAAAGACTTCAAGTAGAGCAAAGTTGACTTCAGAAGGTCATTCACTCACTCACTCACTCTTTTGTAAAGCCCTCTATGTGGGCCCATTAACCCTATATACACCTAAACGCCTGAACTCATTATTCTAAAAATAGACAGTCCTGTGAAGGTGTGCCAAAAAGCAAGGACTGGTCAGAATGCCCTCATTCTCAGAGAATGGGTTGTTCTTTTTTTGTTTTGTTTTATAAAAGGCCAAAATAGCCTTACTTACACAAATACACATGCGCAGTGCAACCAGTAATGAGGCCACCAACGGCAGTGGTGTTAGAGTTCAACTAGAGTTGAATGAACCCCCTGACAGTCACTGGAACAGTGACTATCTGGGATTGTTTTGCAGTACACGAGGACATAAGCCACAAGGGGGGGGGTGGATAGTAGTCCCTAAAGGTTCTCCATCCAACAGTCTCCTGACGGGTTTTGGGAGTCAAGGAAACAAGCAACAGACACACTGTTCTCTAGAGATCCACAGCAACAGAGGTGTAATCGAGCACCCTCTCGATGAAACTTTAGCAACCGCTCCTGTTCTGACTCCACTTCACTCATTAACAGCCCCCTGGGCATGTTCTCAGCAGCACTTCACATCCTTCACTTCATTGCCAGTTCTATTAAATAACAAGACATTATGAGAGGCAGCCAGGTTAGGTCTGAAAGAGTCAAAATGTCATCTGCAGGACCAAAGCAAATGGCATGTTTTGATTTTATGCAGCCTTCACATTACAGAGAAGCTTTAAAAGTAGAGGTTACTGTTGAATGAAAAGAGATGCAGTGGTTCATAATGTAGATAGAAACTGAACTGCACCAGATTTCATGCCTTGTTAATTACAGACTAATATACAGTGACTAACCTTTACCCTTTAAACTTGCTGCACTCAAAATTGCACAGGGTATGCATAATGGTGCCATTGACAATTTACACACATTGTACAGCTATCTTTGTGAAGACACTGACACAATTCACTGCTTAGCCCGTTACCCTAACCTTACCCATCATAACTGAATGCTTAACCTCAATCCACAACGTAATCTAAACCTAACCGTAATACCCAATCGTATCCCTCTCAAACAGCCCTTTGAAGGAGTATGACAAAGTGATAACTGACCAAAATGCCCTTACTCCAATTGCATAAAACTAACTGGTCCTCATAATATATAGAGGCACACACAATTTGACACTTCCAAGTTCATTAATCTGTTAACTAGCATGCAAGTTGTTCAATATTGCCTATTCCTAATGTTGTGTAGTATGGTGTACCATATACACACATTTAAACAGACAGAACATATCCATTCTCCATTATTACCTGTTCATATGGGCTGGGCCATAGCCTCCAATAGCATACACCATGCCATCCAGCACAGCAGTGGCAAAGCAGCTACGGGACTTCGTCATGGGTGCCCCCCCCTGCCACTCCTTCAACTTGGGGACATATTTTTCCACCGACTGAAGGTAGTACTGGCCATCATAGCCTCCCAGGGCGTAGAGCTCTCCAGCCAGGACCACCACCCCGAGGGTGCTGCGGCATTCAGCCATACGCTCCACCGAGGACCAGGTGTTGGTTTCGGGGTCCCAGCTCTCCACCGTGCTCTCGTGTCTACGATAGCTAATGCCCTGTCTCATGTGTGTTGCGATGCCTCCCACCACATACACCTTGTGGTCCAGCACTGCCACTCCAAACTCATATCGGGGCACACTGAGTGGGGCCAGTCCTATCCATGAATCTGTCTGAGGGAAATACATTTCCATGCTGCAAGAGGAAGACAGATGGCATCCAATAAAACAACTTGTTTTTAAATACAGAACATAAAGAAGGCATAGAAAATACTGAAGTCTGGAAAGTGGATTTTTAATAGTACTTAAAATTATTATCTAGACATAACCATCATTACCTTTCTAATGTGGCAAACAGTCCAGCCTTGCCTCCTACTGCAAGCAACACCTTTGGAGCACACCTGGGCCGCGCTGACAGTACAGTCTGATAGGAAAGCCGGTGTTCAGGCATAAAATGATACTTGAGGGCCTCATTGAGCAGGTGCTTGCATGCATGGTCATCTCGTATAAGGTGGTTGGCTTCATATAGGCGAGTGAGGAATTTGACGCTGAGAAGTGGGAGGCGAACACAGTGCAGCAGCTGAGCCAGATGCTGCTGCCTCTCAGTTACATCGTATTTGATCCAAGATTCAAGGGCATAAAATACAGTCTCTTCTGTGACCACCTTAAGACAGTCATTGGACACAATTTCATCCAACTCAGCCCTAGTCAGTTCAAAAAACTCCTCTGTTTGACAAACTTCCTCAAAGTTCTCACAGATGAACTTTGTTGCAGCCAGGCACAGGTCATGACAGCCATACGTTTCTGCAAAGCGGGAGATGCCTATACAGTTTCCAGCATCCAGCTGGCTCTCTAAGAAGGAGCAGCACTCCTTAAGTACTAGCTTAACCTGAAGTAAGTTGGCAGCCGGCAGCAGAGATTCCACTGTTCCCTGGGAAATAAACACTGTGCCAGTGTACGCATACTCAACGATTGCCTGGAAGAGAAACAGTGTTGCTAACAAAAGCCATGTTACAGCAATTAAAATGAGTCTAGCTAATGTCTGCTGGTTCCAAGCATACCTGCAAAGCGGTCTCATCGATGCACTGGAATTCCACCTCTGAAGTCTCCTTTTCTGACAGACTACCCGTGAACATGGCCCTGAAGTAAGGACTGATGCTGGCCAGCACTACTTTGTGGGCATGTATCTTGGCATCACCCACACGCAGGACAATGTCACATAGTTCATGATCCTGCCGCAACAGCTGGAGGCCTTGCAGCAGCTGTTCTGAGTGAGGCTGTGTCAGACTGGCAAACATATAGGACTGGTCCTGCTGTTCCATCTGAGAGCAAAAAATAAACGGATCAGTGCAGTGTTGACATTTTGTAAAGGTCTCAGTTTTAGTAACACCTTCTTATTAACTGACATACGCCTTAACAACAAACACTGAAAATCCTGGAAATTAAGCAGCTGTCATAAGCCCGAAAAGTCAACTAAACACAGGCCTGTGCAACATAATCTAAATACAATGTGACACATTAAGGGGTGTCCTGAAGCAATTCACTTGTTACTCCAGCCTTCTGTTAGCAGCCTAGCTGCGGGGCAAGCTAAAGAAGCATGATCCAATCTAGACTGCTAACGCTGCTTAAAGTGAACCAATAATATTGGCTAGAAATATTTTAGATTAACCCCAAGACAGCTGCCAAAATGCTGTTGTGGATCTATATTTTATGACATTCATAATAACGTCAACTGTTAAGAATGGTGGCTGGGGCCTTGGCTTGATTTTTGCACCGAGGATATGACCAGATCAAAACTCGCTAGCTACCTCTTAGCTTTCACATCAACAGCTAATGCGCTAGCTAACATACTGTAAAACTGGTGCCCACTGATATCATATTTACATTAACATCAGCACTGCTGACACCGCCGTACTATCAAAAGTGTTCGGCCCCAGCATATACACAGTTTCTACATCCGTTACTTGGCAGTCAGCGCAGATTAGCTGCTAAAAATAAACACGGTTACTGTGGCTAGCTGCATCGTTGATTGATATACAGTAACATGGCTGACAGATAGTATGACGTTATAGCTGGCTGTCGTTTAACTTTTTATATTCATCATATTAATCAAAACAAACCTGTGATCCTATACGCCGTCTGGTGTGCCGCTATAATAACCAACTCTGCAATGGCGGAGCTCAGGGGCAACTACTGGGAACCCTGGCCGACTATCAGAAAAACAACCTTCTGCCAACCTAGCGCCAAAGCTACAAATAAGCGCATATAACAGCAAGCTAACGGAAAAGCACACTCGCTTTCGCTGTTTCAAAATAAAATGTTTGCAAGGATAAAATGTTCAAATAACAGTGAATGTCACCAGTTTTCTTAGAAAAACTTATTCTGTGGAGTTTGACAATAAACACAGACACACACCGCAGTATTAATTTACAATGTACAATATATTACAGCTGTCAAAAATATAGTGGAGAAAAAGTCCAGTACCCAGAAAACAATTTTAGGTTCTAGGAACGCTGTGGACGGGTAACTGAGGAGTGTTGGACAACGAAATCAAAAACAATAAATTTAACAGTATTAAGAAGACTGATTAGTAAACTTGATATGAATTTAATGTAATAATGCGTATAATACAGAATTTATGAAACAGTTCTGAATTATATTTGAAAGTATAAATGTTCTTTGGCTTCAAAAACATTACTGATTAAACATAGCACCATTCTGGGGCCAACTGTCATCAGGACACATTGCAAGTGTCCAGTACAATGTTAGTTTCTACTATTCCGAACGAAATAAATGCAAAAATAAATGTAGTGGCTTGTTGCCTTGGGGACTTTCGGGTTTATTCAGCACTTGATGCAGGGCAAATACCGTTTTAGTAAAAGTAATGCAAATCTTGATAAAAATCAGCAATAAAAATTTTTATGCAGTAAAAACCTGAATGAACATTTTTTTTGTGTTCCTATAAGTCAGAAGAGAAGGTCTGATTGTGCATCTTTATATGTTAAAAACACCTGTATTGTCTCTGAATCATAATTCTTAGCCTTGTCTGCTGGTTTTTAATTATCACAATAGCCTCCTTTTAGAAAGCTTCTGATAAATTTATACAAAGTCAGAACAGGAACACCATCCAATTTGTTGGACCCGATTCTTTTCACCGTTAACTCTGAGAGACGAAGCAGTCCGAGTAACTTCAAAACAGTGCTGATTTATTCAATGAACACAGGTAAAATTAACATTACATGCTCAGGAGTTTTTGCACCTCCAACATGCACGCAGGCAGCTGGAAGATGAAAGACCCTGAACCATAACAGGCCTATACATTATATCACCTCGGGCTAACCCCATTCTACACAGGAACGCCAAACCGTGATGTCTCCCGGTGCCAGCTTTGCAGCTGGCCAGAGCAGTAGTCAAAACATGAAGAAAAATCAATGTGTGATTTGTCTGCTGATTATGTGGTATGTAGCTAAAAACATTCTAACACGACCTCTAGTGACATGTCATGACATTAAACATAAGAAAATATTATGGCTATGGCTACAGTTATACACGTCATAATAATAATATTAAACATCCTGTCTTCTAACAGTCATCAACTTTCTATCTAGTTATCCTTGAACCTGAACAACCTGGAGTCCCCCATAAGAATGACTAAGCATTTAACAGCCTGAGCTAGACATCGTGTCTACACTAAACATTTCTAGTACATAAAGTGTCTAACCAATGTCTATCTAACAAAAATACATAACAAATTCCACAGCTGACTCTTGTGTTAAATTCTTCAGAAACTGACATTTTAGAAGTCAGCAAAAGATGCTTCTGACAGGCTGTTGACTCAGTAAAAGTGGGAGTGCACCTCAGCGGGAAGTAATTTCACACACAGTTGATAAACCACATATCATATATTTCGGTGGACTGAAGGACGAACGTAAATAGTGCAAATTTGCACTCACTCCAAAACAGTGGTATCACAGATACCTACATCAACCCTCTGGTGAATTAATAATTAACAGTTCTTAACATATTTTCAAATACACAGCACAAACAACAATCATCACCATCTGTAACAAAAGACAGAAATTTGTTTATCCCATATAAAGCAATACTTTGTAAATGTTATGTTTATTAGAAAACTAGTTTTGCTACAGCCTGTGATTTGATGTTACAGTGTTGAGATGCAATCTCTGGAGGTCAAGTCAGTTATTTATATAGCCCGCTGTCACAAACTTGCTTGGGGGGGGGGGGTTGCAATCTGTAAGGCTTAAAACACCCTCTGTCTTCAGACCTTTGTGAAAAAACTCCTTAAAACATAGTTAATAGATGCATACAATGGATGTCATATGTACGGAATACTGCAACATGGACACTCCGGATGACAAGGTAATAATTGGAAAAGCTGTGGAACAAAAACACTAATGAATAACCAGACAATATCTCTGGTCTCTATCTAAAAAGCTGACAATCTAAAAATGCGTCCAGTGTCAGGTCTTGTAGCAATTGACCACATTCTTTGCAGACAGAGGTAGAAAGAATGATAAATGTAAACACTATGTGCACTGTGTACTATGACAGCACTCATTATGACCACAGATACATGATATTGTGTAAGATGTCTCTGAGTTCCTTTTAAGTCACTATATAAATAAAATGTATTATTATGATACAAAAACTTTGCTGCACTTTAATGATAAACATTTTCTTTAGGCAAGAGGGGAATTTTTATGCCAACTCTAAACGCTTTTATTTGTATTAAAATTAGCATTAATACTACTTCAACCATTCATTTTAATCAAGTGAAAGTATTTTTTTTAAACTAATATTATATCAGGGTTAAAATGAATTTAGCGTGCAGTGTCGTATCAGCCACCAAAACATTTGCTTTTATCACATACAGTGAATGTTTTTAAAAAAGATCCATGTTTGCCTCTTAACAGTCATGAATGAGCAGGAACGTCTGGCCTCTGTCAAAAACACCAAGTAAACATTACATGGAAGCTAGCACCACCGAAAGTATTGAGCTATTACTTCTCCTGTAACGTTACTTCTGTTATATCCCCGTTCTTTTATTGGACAGATCTGAATAACGAAGGAGTCCGTCTTTCTGCATTTTAGTGCTGATTTATTTTTAAAGACTCAAATAAAGATTACAGAACACAATCCGGGTTGTTCCTTCCTCCAGAAACACACACACACTCTGGCTGCTGGAGAGAGGAGCTCCCAGAAACACAGAGCCCAATACATTTATCAGTTTTGGGCTAACCCCATACACAGATGAAGTCAGTCCAGCAGACTCCATCTCTTATCTAGAGCTCCACAGGCTTGGAGCAGCTGCGTGTTACCTAGTCATAACAAAATGAGGACGCTCAATGTGTGTATATGTTGTCACATGATGTGTAGCTAAGACATTCACTTATTTATTCAGACATAGTATTCCAACACTAGATTAATACAGGAAAACAACTGGTGTCCTGGCTTACTGCTAACCTTGAAACAGAGCAGACTTTGAATCTTACTAAATTGCATTACTAACACATTTGATTCAACACATTGTCTAATAATTATCTGACTGATTTATTAATTTCTACCACTTCTATAACCCTACAAATGTTACTTTGCAATGGCAAAAACCACTTTAGTCAATCAGTTAGGCAACCATTTAATAACGTTAGATGGTTATCCTGCCTAATGTAAGATTTGAGTCTTATAGACTCTAGTTACTTTATCAGCTTTAGTTACTTCATACCTTTAGTTCCCTTTAGTTACCTTTCATAACTTACTAGATGTCTGCATCTCTTTGTGACCAGACAGCCTATTCACATTTTAGCAAAGGCCTGTTTTACACTCACACCTTGACCCACTTAGCATATACCAAGCTTTACTTTGTCTTGGGATGTCCTGCAGAGGCCAGGGGCTACAACCTGAGATGACCACCTGACACTGACTGACTGACTGACTGACTGGCGAGCTCCAGCTCACACCAAATGACCAATAGGACCACAAACTATTGAATGTTGTACCTCTGTCCAGGGCGGAGCAGCCCAAGCAGATAAAATGTATTGTAAGACCTTAATTCGGGGTTGAGAGAATGGAACTCCTGCGGGAGCTCCATCTCTCTGATCCCAGCGCTGTAAGGCCTACCTGTGATCAGACATTCAGTAAACTTTCTGTTGATTTTAAACAGTCCTCTCCTGTCTTCACTTCTTGTGCTTCCAACAAAAGAATTGGGTTCATTTTTAACACTAAGCTAATCGTAAAGTCAAATAAGATTAGCTTCATTTCTGGTCGACAGTTAGCGTATTTAGCTAACTGTAACAAACGCTAATATTACCTTGGTCGATTTTCTCTAATCTTTTCTAAAACATCAAATGTTTTGTAAGAAAAAAATCACTTCAACTTTAAAGTTGACAACGGAAAAAGATTTACATAGAATTTAGTTATGAAGCTACAGATCTTTAATAATGACCTGTTTTAAAATCCCCCCCACTGCCACACCAGATCGTGTGGTTGTTTCATGAACCGGAAGGAATACCAACTTGAAAGCTGTTGACAAGTCGCTTCCCTCGCGAGATTTTAATGAGTACTTCTCACACTCGAGTATTTAAATTTTCTGTTTCATACTTCGACTTCGCTACATTTTACAGAAAAATATTATACTTAACAAAACCATAGTAATGCTGTCTCTGTATCGGTGCGTTGTGGTAAAGAGAGCAGTATAATATAATGGACATTAAATTTCTGACCTGACACTTTATCCAAATGATGTTTAATAACTAAACATTTGAGATTACAATATAATCAAAATAACGATATACAGTGTGTCAATATGCTACATTAACAGTTTTAGACTAAATAACCATAACCCTTAGGGTTAGGGTGCGGAGCTCAGCCACCCATGAGGAGCTCAGAGTAGAGCCGCTGCTCCTCCACGTTGAGGGGAACCAGTTGAGGTGGCTCGGGCACCTGTTTAGGATGCCCCCTGGTTGCCTCCCTAGGGAGGTATTCCGGGCATGTATCTTTGGGAGAAGGGAAAAGGCCTCGGCGCAGACCCAGGACACGTTGGAGAGATATGTCTCCCAGCTGGCCTGGGAACGCTTTGGAGTTCCTCCTGAGGAGCTATAGGAGGTGTGTGGGGAGAGGGAAGTCTGAGAGGCTCTGCTCGGACTACTGCCCCCACGACGCGGTCTAGGATAAAGCAGACGAAGATGGATGGATGGATATTATACTTTATATTCACCACATTTTTTGATAACTTTAATTATCTTTGTTTAGTTGTGTGGCATTCATGTGGACGGCAAAGTAAGAATTTCATTGTACAGGGAAACACGTTTCCTAACTGTGCATATGACAAATAAACACTGAACTTTCAGACTGAGATTAATTAAATAAAATACAGTAAAATCGTGACTTTATTGATCTCTGGTGGGAAATTCACAAGCTACTCAGCAGAGGTACTTCAAAGTATAAGCATATAAGGTCATTACCATTAGCTCTATCTTGACCAGCTGCAGCATAAAGTGTTATGTACACAATAAAACATCAATAATTACTGTCCAGTAATATGAGATACATTAATGTGAAATGTGCCATTGTGCACAATGAGTACTTTTACTTACTATAATTTTAAGTATATTTTATGCTAATACCTTTGTACTTTGTACCTTTACTTAAGTAACAATTTAAATACAAGGCTTTTACTTGTAACAGAGTAATTTTATACTGTGGTATTGCGACTTTTACGTAAGTAAACGATCTGAGTACTTCTTCCACATAACCTGAAAGCAAAGTGCACCAATAATGTGATTAAGTACGATACTTAAGTAAACATACTTGGTTATGTAATTGTTAAAAACTCTAGCATAAATAACTTGCAGGTAAACTGAAGCTGTTGTGTGCCACATGAGTGCACACCTGGATGACATTCTGTAAATCATTATCTAAGGCAGTGATTGATATGTATGTGACGCATAGTTTAAATCAGTTATATTTTAATGTATGGACTGTTTTTCCATCAGTCTGCGTTGTTGCTTTCAGGAGATGATACCCTGTGGGGTTCGCGTCACCATGGAAGCGCTCAGTTTGCGACCTGTATTCGCCATTTTGCTGCCTCGGTGTGTGTTTGTGAGTGTGTGGGGGCTCCTCTTGATGCGAATACCTCTGTAGCTTCCAAACATTGGACACTCCAGTCACCAGCTAACAGCCAGTGGAAATGTCTACACTTAGAGAACCGTAGCCGCAGCAGCATGATATATAAATGTGGACGACATAACACGAGATAGCCTCTTCCCCCGTCACCGGAGAGGACCAGGAGATATGCAAGGTCTCTTTACTTGCTTTTTTTCTAACTTTGCTAGCCCAGTCAGCCAGCGCTAACCACTAATATAATTAGCGGAGTAGCGAGTTAGCTTAGCACCATTTGAGCGGTGTTACCGTTAGCTAAGGTTCTATGGAGCTAACTTAAGTAAAAATGAGCTGGTTAAAGAAAACGTGTAGTGATTGATTGTTAGCCCATTAAAGGCGTTATTCACTGTCGTATAACTGGCTAAGGCTCAGATCGACACACTTCACAGTAAGGTTAAGTGACGTTACAGCCGTAACGTTAAAGGTATTATGCTTTTAATTACCGTACCTGACAGCAACAAGTGGTTGTGTCCATTTCCCCTTTAACGTAACCTAGTTGTTCATGGTGTTCGATCATACTGTTAGGAGGCAACGAGACACTCCCTCAGTTAATATATGTGCTGTTACTTGGCTCAGTGCTGTAACAATTATTATCGCCAAGGCTGTCACGAAGTGTTTTGCTCATTAGCGCGTTTCACCCTAAGCAAGTGTGAGTTTATTCATTCCCATGACTACTGTACATTTTCTCTGTATTACACTCACAGCTTGACACGCAGGAGTGGTTTCCATCACCAGCCCCTCAGGATGAAAGCATCAAGTAAAGAGGAGGAATATTACTGTCCTTGTAAGATTGTGTTTGATTTTTAAATTTATCAACATCCAGAAGATCATCAATAATGATACCAGGGTTGATCTCCCACGAGTTACACGAGAAGCTTCTTGATCTGAAGAATTACCAAAATCGCACAAGTGGGGTGGAAGAACTCAAACACATCCTTTTAAAAGTGAACATTAGATCAGTCCCATCTGATAGTATTGAGGACTTCATCAATTTTCTTACTCGTCTTCTGGATGATAGTAATTTTAAAGTGATGTACAGCACCTTACAGATTTTAAACTTGCTGATTCAGAAGCTAGATAAAAGTGTAAACAAATATTTCAAACAGCTGGTCTTACTAGCTCTCAAGGCCCTGGGGGACACTCGCACCATCACCAGAAATGAATATATGAACGCATTTCGACAGTTGATGAAAACTGTTGCACCGCAACAAGTATTAGATATTGTAATGAGTAACTTGAAACACAAAAATTCAAGGGTTCGGGAAGATGTCCTTAACATTATTATGGCAGCGATGCTCACTCATCCTAGGAAAGATTTCAACATCCCCAAGCTTTGTTTTGAGGTTGCACCATATTTGGCAGACAGCAAATGGAAGGTCCGCCACGCTGCCCTTGAGTTGTTTGCTGTTTTTGACCATTGCCTCGAAACAGGGAAAAAGCAGCCCTTGATGAAAGCTGTGGACATGGTTGAGCTCAATGAGGATGCAGATGGTCTTATGGCAGCTATACAGGCAAGAAGAGCAAGGCACATACTTCCGAAACTCTCCTCAGAGGGGATTGTGGAGTATGGCTTAGTGGTGCCCAAACAAGGACAGCAGTATGGTTCTGGAGCTGATCTGGACTGGGTGATGAAGGGAGGGCGGGTAAGCAGCGCCAGGAGCCATAGAACTGAACAGGACGGTGACCGATTACATGACTATGGCAGCTTGGGCTCCCTCACTGATGACCTTCCACTTCAGAGGAGGATTGCCAGTGCAGGAAAAGGGAAGAACAAGCTACCCTGGGAGATTTCGAGTTCAGCCACTGAGAATGAACAGCAATTCGATACACCTAATGGAAAGTGCTCCAAACAGGTGGGGTCCATCATTACTGTTAATTTGCCATACTCTCACTTATCTCACGTGATACTTTAGCCATTGTTCCCAGATTTATCAATAAGATATACAGCTTCAAAGAATATTCTGGGATATGGCAGGTTAGTTTGCCCCCAGATAAATGATTTTTAGTTAATGAAGCAGCTATTGACTCAACAAGCAGTGTTTACCTCTTTGAGTGAAGCGGCTTCCAAAAATACTCTTTGAATTTTAGGGCTTAACCAGTCATTTCTTGCCTATCTCTACTGAGGTTTTAAGCAGAGTTTCAAATTGACTTTAAAATTAGAGAGTATGTAAGTGTGTATTTGTGGATAGGCTTGATTTCTCAGCTTTTTTTTTTTTTAGAAATTGTTCATTTTTAAAAAAGATTCCAATGTTATTACACTGTTAGATTTTTGTATTTTTGTTCCTCCTTTCCCCTGCTGATTGAACATGCTGAATCACACCCAAAGGCACATCTGCTATGAGACTAAAGAAAACTTAAGAGGTGGCACATTACTCAGAGGTAGAAAACTAAATATAGGTGTGCTGTACATCTCATGATGCACCATGGATGCAGTGCCGCAAGAGGGGGAGAGTTGGATCCTATACAAAATATTATAGAGGCTGCTTCTCTCAGCCTTTCTTAGTGTGTATGATAGTCATCAATGCATCCTTACACATTTTATAGATAGTTGATGATTCTTGAAAAGTTTTTTAGAAAGGAAGAATAACAGTCAGCTATATAGGATCATGTGAGTATGTGGTGCTCCATTTTTTATAAACTGAGGGATAGGTATGCCCTCAGAGCACTCCAGGATTACTGACGCTATTCCTTGAAGAAGTACATTAGGTGACCCATTTCCCAGCACAGTGACACTGTTGCTGCACAGATGAGCATCCTGGAGAATAGGCCTTGTGAAAGGTCAGCCTACCATTTTTCTGTGTTAAAGGATTTAATGTGAAACACATACTATATAATATTTTATTAGTTAACAAACTAGAATAATATGTTAAGCATGAGTTAATATATCAGTTATGTTCTTATAATGTCCATTGCTTGTGGCTTGATTTCATTAGCTATTAATTTACCTTATTTGTTCATAAAACTATTATCCATCTTAGTTCCTCCATTTGAAAACCCTGCTGTTGACAGAAGTGTCTGTTTCCCAGCAACTCCATTACCACATAGCATACTTACTGAAAGAGCTGTGAAATGTAATTGGTAATATCACAGGGTTATGCTTTTAAAACATGGCATATTTACTGCTCTAGTGTTGATTGCAATCAGGCCAAGTGCTCCGCAGCGAGTGTTGATCAGATTATAGGCAGTGGGGCTAACCTCAGCCATACTCTCCCCAAGGCTAAGATATATGAAAAACCTACCATTATTCTCCACCTACGCCAATCATTATTCTTTTATGAGAACAGTAGGCTTCATGTATGACTGTTTACAGAAGCAGAAGATCTACCCAAAGGCCACTGTCTCTTTTCTAAGCAGGCTAAATATCTACTACATCCCTTTGTTCAGGCCAGTGGATGGAATTACACTGAGGCCCGTGTAATGTTTAATGATTGTTTTACACTACAGTATTATTTGAACAACTTCCTTTATTGTTGCTATTAAAATAAATAATTTTCTGCCTTATTAGGTGGCCAGTGAGGATGTCCTTCCCCTATCCAGAAGTCCAGAGACCTACATACCCAGTTTTAGTAAGTGGCAGTATTTCCTTCTCTCGACATTATACTCATGTTTATTCTGTGTGAGGTGATGAGTACGGCTGACTTCAGCTTTGCTTTAAATTGTCTCCCAGTAGGCTGAGAAAGACCATTATGCTATTCCACTAACCAACTAGTTGTCTAAACTCTAGTCTGTTAGTATGACACCCATGAATCCTCGGAAATTTATTACATTGTATTGTTGTTCTCGCAGCTGATTAGTTAAATGTGTAGCTTAAAGCTACTGTATGTAAGTTGAAGTAACACTACCATGAAACTGTCAATCCACTGTGCTCCTCCCAGCGCTCCCTCTCCCTGCTTCACTACAGTCTGCTATGCTCCGCTACACTCTGCCCAACTCTTCAGGTATTTGTCGTTGTTAAATTACAGTAAGTGAGAATGCAACAAAACTTACTGAAACAATTGAACATCTCAGATTGGTTAGAGAGATTAATCCCACTCAAAACGTTTAGAAGCTAATATCTCTGCACTGCCGCCAGTGCTAGTCAATGAGTCTGGGTCACAGGAGGCTTTGACATCACCTCTCCACATTATGACAGGTTTTGGAGCAGATTTCTATAACAGAAATATTTGAAAAAAAGTTAAGAACATGGCTTGACACTTTACTTTTTGTCACATTATTTGTTTGGTTGCTTAAATAATTGTTTTACAGGGCTAGAGATATTACTCGTGAACAAGATGAAATGTCCTTTGTCATTGTTGGCAACCTTTCTCTTAATACACTAAGTAAATAAATTCAGATCATGAAATAAGATGGGGGAAAATTGTGACAGGACTGTTTAGCCCAAAAGTGAAAAAGAATGTAGCCGAAAGCAGGTGAATGTCAGAGGGCAGGGAGTTTGTGCAGTATGCCAGCTTCAATAGAGAATCTAGCCAAGCAAATGTGCAGAGTTACTACTGATGTCCCTGTAGCAAGGGTTTATAGAAGCATGTCGGTGCCCTGCCAGCAGCTATCCCAAACTGACTAACCCTAGGTTTGGGTACAAATAATAAAGAGAAGAAGCTCAGTGATAAAATTGACAGAATTTGTAAAGTAATTTCATTGAGAGGAAAGCATTGTTACCTACTTAATATATTCTCTTCAAAATATTTGTTTTGAAAAAATCTTAGAAAAAGTATTTAACACCCGTTTAGAAAAATTTGTTGAAAAACACAAATTGATTAAGGAAAGTCAATATGGATGTAGAAGTAAAAGATCTACTGCATTGGCTATAATTGATGCAACAGAAGAATTATCAAAGGCACTGGATATTTATTGATTTGAAAAAAAGCCTTCGTTACTATCAATCATGCAGTATGTGCAGGGGACATGGGATGTATTAAATAGTATTCTCAAAAAAGGATAACCCCGCCCACCTACTCAGCATATTTTGCTGACTCAAATGGGGAATATCATAACATGAACAGGGTAGTCAACAGGTTTAATAATTTTTTTGTAAACATTGGTCCAGACTTGGCAGCAAGAATTCCAGGCGAACAAATAGAGCACAATATTGATAAAATTGAAATTAATTCAAACACAATCTTTCTTTCAGAAGTTAACAAGGAAGTAATGGATATTGTCCAAAGGTCTAAAAATAAATTTTCTATGGACTGTCACTCCATCAATATGGCACTATTAAAAAAAGTTATATACAATATTAAAATGCCTCTAGCACACATCTGCAATCTGTCGCTTCAAAATGGTTGTGTTCCAAATAAAATGATTTTACCATACTTAACTTACTGTGTTGAAGTATGGGGAAATAACTACAATAATTCAATACAGTCACTAGTAATTTTACAAAAAAGGGCGATGTGGATCATACATAAGGTTGAATATTTTGAGCATACAAATCCACTTTTTTTCAAATCAAAGTTATTAAAAATTCAGGATCTTGTTAAAATCAACATGGTACAATTTCTATTTAAAGCATTTCACAATCTATTACCTGCTAATATTCAAAAGTTATTTACGCAGCAAGAGCAGTTGTATAGTTTGAGGGGCTATGGGTACTTTGTAATACCAATGGTCAGAACTACTAGGAGGAGTTTCTGTGTGTCTGTATGTGAGGTTAAACTATGGAATAGTTTGGGACTTGAATGGGTTCTGTCACAGTACAGAGAGGACGGGGTTTAATTTTCTGAAGATGTATTTATAGACACCTGGTAGGTGTCCGGATTATCATCGTTGGGAGGACTGCTACTGTTACCAGTGGTGTTATATGGCGTTTATTCACGATATGTCGTTTTGTTTATTTGTTTTGTATGTTGTTTGTTGGTCCTTTTGTTTTCTTTTCCTTGCATTTGTGTATATATTTATGTACATATATAGAAATTGGATGTTTGGTTAGTATTAATTAATAAGGAAGTAGCCAATATGTTTTTTGTTTTATTGTAACTGACTGGGGTGGGCTTAAATAAGCTTGACGTCTTCCCACTTTGTTTTGAGCAATTGATTGAGGTATGTTGTTAATGTAAGGGACTATACCTTGTAGGGATTGACTGTATTATTGTTTTGTTATATGTCAGTATTGCTCGAAATAAATTCTTAAACCTAACCTAAACCTAAAAATATGTTTCACCTGAGATTTTATATTGATTTGTAGCTCCTTGACTAATTAGGTGTTTGACCTTGACTAGTTGACTATTAGGGGATTAGACTCACTTGGAATGCTGCAACTATATCTTATGTAATCTGAGCACATGCTATTGGTAATCTGCAAATGAAAATAACAACTGTATTGTGTGGTGTAGTAGCCAGCT